TCATGACCTGAGCCGAAGGCAGACGCTTAACGACTGAGCCACCCAGGTACCCCACCTTTTTTTTTTTTTTTAAGATTTTATTTATTTATTTGGGGGGAGAGAGAGAGAGAGAAGGGCACAAGTGGGGGGCAGAGGGAAAGGGAGAAGCAGATTCCCTGCTGAGCAGGGAGCCCGATACAGGACTCGATCCCAGGACCCCAAGATCATGACCTGAGCTGAAGGCAGATGCTTAACCAACTGAGCCACCCAGATACCCCATGACATTTCTTTTTTCCTTTTGGACTTTGGCATTTGTTACCCCAGACCTGGAGGGAAACAAATGTAAACGTTGACACTAGCCCTTTTAGTATCAGCGCTGGAGGGGAGCTTTTTGTGGTGTGGTAATGAGGTCGCCGTTGCTCGACATGATCAACTAGACATTTGCAGAGTGTTCCCTCCATTTCCTGGGGTTGCACAGTGGCAGCTCCTCAAATAGGTACCATACCACCGACAAAGCTTTGATTGCACAGCTTTTGTTTTCTGCTGAGTGTTTTTGAAACGGTATTTACTGGGAGAAGTTCAAACATGTATACAGACAGAGAGACTCGTGTAATGACCCCCCCCCCACCATGCATCCAGCAGCGAACATCAACGCATCACGGCAATCCCCGTTCAGCTGTACCCTCGCTCCCAGTCTATTCGGATTGGTTAATGTTGGCTCACGTATTTGAAGGTAAATCCTAGATATCACGCCCCCCTCCCCCCACAGATTTCTGCCTGCACCTGCTTGTCTGCACCAAACACATTTTTTGCAACAACCACAATGCCAACATTGTGATTAACAAAGTAACCCGGTAACATGGGTTCTTTCACATCGCTTAGCATCCAGCCCATGTTCGAATTCCCCCAAGTGGACCGGGAATGCCTTTCGGCGAGGTCTGTGCGAATAAGGATCGAGGCCAGAGCGGGCTGCTGACGCGTGCATGCCCGCCGGCTGGCCTCGGACACACAGACGCCCATCCCGGCGCGGGCTGCCCGGCCCCGTGCGCGTCCGTTTACTCGTCTGTCCTCTAGATGCTCAAGGCCGGGAGGAAAGGGACTGTGGGCTCATCATCTCTACGGTCCCCATTCTGAAGCGATGGGCTGAGTGGGAGCCCTGGCTCTACCAGTTAATTAGCTTGGTCGGTAACCAGCTAGTTCTCCTCTAACGCAGGCTAATTGTCCTGTCCAGACCAACGCGGCTTCGTCTGTGAAACGGGGTGCCAGTGCGAGCTCGCAGGGCGCTGTGCGGGTTGACGAGGTGCAGAGCAGATGGACGGGGGCCTGACACGCGGTACTCAGGAGCGCCTGGCTCTAGAGGTGCAACCCCCCGAGGGCGGCAGAGACCACATCCCCCGGGGGCTCCACTGGGCTCAGGGACCCCTGGGATGCGCAGCGACAAGCACGACGGAACACGTGCCTCCCCCGAGACGGAGCTGCAGCGCAGTGCCTCACGTTACACCTTCCGATGCGCGGACCTGCCTTTGAGGTCACGCCAGGGAAACCAGGGCGCCAGGCCAGGATGGGATGAGTGTGTGGGTTTCAGGACAAAAAGGCCTTCTCGTTGTTTCTTCTGGAAATCGGCGGCTCCCTCCCATGGGTGCGGTGGAGGGGCCTGCCCTCCGCGCGCTCCCCGCGCGCCCCGGGCTCCCCGCGCTCCCCGGGCTCCCCGCGCGCCCCGGGCTCCCCGCGCTCGCCGGGCTCCCCGCGCGCCCCGCGCGCCCCGGGCTCCCCGCGCGCCCCGCGCTCCCCGGGCGCCCCGCGCGCCCCGGGCTCCCCGCGCGCCCCGCGCTCGCCGGGCTCCCCGCGCGCCCCGGGCTCCCCGCGCTCCCCGGGCTCCCCGCGCTCCCCGGGCTCCCCGCGCGCCCCGGGCTCCCCGCGCTCGCCGGGCTCCCCGCGCTCCCCGCGCGCCCCGGGCTCCCCGCGCTCCCCGGGCTCCCCGCGCGCCCCGGGCTCCCCGCGCGCCCCGCGCTCGCCGGGCTCCCCGCGCGCCCCGGGCTCCCCGCGCTCCCCGGGCTCCCCGCGCGCCCCGGGCTCCCCGCGCTCCCCGGGCGCCCCGCGCGCCCCGGGCTCCCCGCGCTCCCCGGGCTCCCCGCGCGCCCCGGGCGCCCCGCGCGCCCCGGGCTCCCCGCGCGCCCCGGGCTCCCCGCGCTCCCCGCGCTCCCCGGGCGCCCCGCGCGCCCCGGGCTCCCCGCGCGCCCCGGGCTCCCCGGGCTCCCCGCGCTCCCCGGGCGCCCCGCGCGCCCCGGGCTCCCCGCGCGCCCCGGGCTCCCCGCGCGCCCCGCGCTCGCCGGGCTCCCCGCGCGCCCCGGGCTCCCCGGGCTCCCCGGGCTCCCCGCGCGCCCCGGGCTCCCCGCGCTCCCCGCGCTCCCCGGGCGCCCCGCGCACCCCGGGCTCCCCGCGCGCCCCGGGCTCCCCGCGCGCCCCGGGCTCCCCGCGCTCCCCGGGCTCCCCGCGCGCCCCGGGCGCCCCGCGCACCCCGGGCTCCCCGCGCGCCCCGGGCTCCCCGCGCGCCCCGCGCTCGCCGGGCTCCCCGCGCGCCCCGGGCTCCCCGGGCTCCCCGCGCTCCCCGGGCTCCCCGCGCGCCCCGAGCTCCCCGCGCTCCCCGCGCTCCCCGGGCGCCCCGCGCGCCCCGGGCTCCCCGCGCGCCCCGGGCTCCCCGCGCTCCCCGGGCGCCCCGGGCTCCCCGCGCTCCCCGGGCTCCCCGCGCGCCCCGGGCTCCCCGGGCTCCCCGCGCTCCCCGGGCTCCCCGCGCGCCCCGGGCTCCCCGCGCTCCCCGCGCTCCCCGGGCGCCCCGCGCGCCCCGGGCTCCCCGCGCGCCCCGGGCTCCCCGCGCTCCCCGGGCGCCCCGGGCTCCCCGCGCTCCCCGGGCTCCCCGCGCGCCCCGGGCTCCCCGCGCTCCCCGGGCGCCCCGGGCTCCCCGCGCTCCCCGGGCTCCCCGCGCGCCCCGGGCTCCCCGGCGCGGGGCCGGCGCGCTGCGCGCTGGGGGCGTGTCCGTGGGCCGCCGGCGGGCTCTGGCCCCACCCACCGGCCGCCTCAGGACACCTGCCGGCCCGAAGCTGCGGGGAAGGCGGGCGCGCTCCCGCCCCGTCCGAACAGTAAGCGCCTTCCGGGCCAGCAACGCACGCCTGCTACAAAACGCACCGTCTCCACTGCGGGTTTTCGGGCCAGGAAGCCACTTGGCCCAGCAGGGAGATCGTCTGCTTCACTTTTAAAGGCATGGCTGGTTCTTGGCAAGTTCCGGGGGTGGGGGTGGGAGGTTTATCGTCGACATCCTCCTGTCTGCCTTCGCGTATCACTCACCACAAACTGCCCCCTGCAGCAGGCAACCGCCCAGACCCGTCTACCTTTCAGAGGATCTGCTCGGTCTCTTCACAGAAGAAATGGAGTCCGTTCATGAAGGAAATCCCACGGGCCCTCACCCCCCTGCACAAGCAGTGTGGCACCTGGTTCACCATGGCCCATCAAGCACCTTTTGCAAAGCCCTTATGTACCCAGCTGCTAACTAAAGGAGCCTGCAGGTGGGAAAGTGGGCTGCGCCCCCGGGGCCAGCCTCAGGGGCCCGTTCCCTGGCTGCCCCTCGCCTCCCTCCCTGGACGAGTGCAGCTTCCTGGAGTCCCTGCCCCAGCCCTGGCGAGGTGACTTCGGCTCGTCACTGCCTCTCTCAGCCTGTCTCCTTCTCTGTAAAATGGGGCTACAGCTCCACCTAGCTCAGCTCTTAGGGCTGCATGAGCGAAGATGCGCAGGGCTGGTGTCTGGGAGCACCCCGAGAGCAGGGGTGAACTTGACAGGGTGGACCTAAGGGCCCTGGTGGGTCATGTTCTTTGGATGTGCTTTTTAAAATGAGGTCCCCAGCCATCAGCTTATCCTGGCAAAGTATGAGAAATACAAGTTCTCAGGCTCCTTCCCAGACCAACGGAATCAGAAATCCTGGGGCCCACTAGTCCTTGTTCGCAGTCTCCCCCCACCCCCGGCCCTGCCCCTGGGGTAACACTTTCACATCAACTCTGCATCGAGCCGCAGTTGTGAGCTGGGTAGTGAGGCTGAAGGCAGGCTTTATCCCCATTTATACAAAACAAGAAATCTGGCTCAGAGGCCCTGCAAGAGGTAACAGGCATTTGTCAGGCACAGACCACGGCCAGATCTGACATTACATGCCGAAACCAGGATGGTCTCTGCACTTAGGAGAGAAAGACAGCTAGAGACCGGGACCAGGGCCCGTTTCTATTCCACAGCAGACCTCTGCTAACCTGCAAAGCACCAGATTTCAGATAAGACTCGCTTTGACCCCTACTGCTTTCGAATCTTCCTTACAAGTGCAGTTCTAGGGGCACCTGGGTGCCTCAGTGGGTTAAGTGACTAACTCTTGATTTCGGCTCAGGTCATGCTCTCATGGTCGTGGGATTAAGCCCTACCTCGGGCTCCAGCTCAGTGGGAGTCTGCTTGAGATTCTCTCCCTCCGCCCCCTCCTCTCTAAAATAAAAATAAATCTTAAAAATAAAAAAGTACAATTCTAGGGGTTTGTTAATTGCCTTAGATGGAGGCAAATATCACGCAGTATTTAATTTAGCCAAACTAGGAGAAATATCAGTTTTTTATATTATGTACTTTGCCTTATCAGTGACTTCCTGATAGAATCTTCTAGAGCTTATAAATTTCACCCACCACATGATCTCATCCCTTATTTCTGCAGTGTTTTACAGTTCAACTAATGCTTTTTCACACCTTCCCTACTGATCTTCACAATAACTCTAGGTGAGAACTGACATGCAGTCCCGCTGTCCACACGAGGAAACACAAGGCTCAGCGAGGTCACAAGAGTAAGTGGCAGAATCATCTGTGTAGCGGATATTTATCAGACATCAGAAGTGAGGGCCCCATCGAAGCCCCAAGTCCTACGGTCATTGGGATGGCTCGGCTCGCTGGGATTCTGACTGTCTGCTGTGTGGCACACGGGGGAGCTGACAGAGGACACGGGCGTGGGCAGTGGTGCACCTCAGGTACATTTATTCACGCCACAGGGGACACAACACGTCTACAGGTGTACGGCAGTGCTCCACGTTCCCATCTAACAGCGCACTGAGATTTACAAACAGACTGATGCTCCATCGGACGTGCGCTCCAAGTACAGCCGGTCAATGATGGCCATGAGCAGGCGCAGGACTGGAAGCTGTAGAAAGAGACGCATAATACAGACATCATTGAAGAAGAAAGGAAACCATGGAAGACAGTTTATTACGTGAGTATTGACAAGTCAGAAACTGTAAACGACAGTTTTCAATACTACGAAGACACGTGGAGGGTCATTTCTATGAGGAGCGCCCAGCAGGTGTGAGGGTTTCGTGTACTCCCCTTGTGCACCCGGGAGCCCGCCTGCCAGCACCAGGCCGCAGCGCAGGGGAGTGTCTTCTCCCCAGGGGTCACCAGCCAGCCCCGGGGCTTTGGGAGGACTCAAATGACTACAGTTCCACTGTCATTTGGGGAAGAGTGAAGACATGTCCAGCACCAGGACATACATTCATGTGGTGCTTTCTCTCCAGACGCATTTCACAGGGCGGTTCCTGCACAGCTAGCCCGGTGCTGCCCTCCTGGTGGCAGCAGCGACCCCCCGTTTCCTAGTATCCCTGGCAGTTTTACTTGGCCCGAGGCGGTGAGCAATGGTTTTCAAGGCTCAGACTGTAAGAACCACCTCAGAATTCTCTTTTCCAGCAGGGACAGCAAACTTCACGTCCTCTAGTATCCACTGCACTATATACGTTTGTAAGCATGACACACCTTGTCCTGAAAAGGTTCGATGGTGTTTCGCGTTCCCCATCCCTTTGAAGAAGCAAAAATCTTACCTTTCAAAGCTTTACTTCTTTTATCTGAAATAAAAAGAAAGAAACACTGGTTGTATCAACACTTTACAAAAATGTTTTTGGTCAACTGACCACTGCTAAAATCAACATCTGGCTGAAAAATCCACAGCTGAGGTAAAGCGGTTCCGGGAAGTTTCAGCAAACCGGAGTTTCGACAGTGCCTCCCAGCCAAGAGGTGGCACCGCTCCCACCAGATACGTCTAGGAGCCGTGAAGGACTCCCCGCTCCCTACCATTCCCCACACTCCAGTCTTGGAGTTTACAGTTTCTCCCTTCTCTCCTCTTCTAAACCAACTGCTTATTAATACATGATTGGGCCTCATCTCTGTTCCACTGAGTCATCTCTGCTCCAAAGGTCACCCTGCCCCCACTTCTATGATAAAAATAGTTCGAATGTTCACAGCGGTGGAACAGGTACAGTAATACACCACACGCCAGGACACTCCACCCCTAACGACTTCCGCCATCTCTTCCAACGAAGGACATCTCCTGTGCATTCAAAACACCATTGGTACACCTAGGGAACTCAGAATCCCCCATCATCAAGGCCTTGTTCACATCTTCCCAGTTGTCCCCAAATGTCTCTTTACAGCTGACACGTACTCCCCACATTTTAACAAAGGGTTCTGATGCTCACTTCTGGGTAAGAACTCTTGTTCTTTCACAAGATGAATCATGATTCCTTTTGAAAATGATGTTCATCCTGCCTGCTAATGAATCGACATAAAGAAACTTACCAGCACTCCTGATTTTATAAACGATGACACCCATCAACCCCATTCCTAACCAAATCTCCTGGTAAACTTGGGTATAGTAGGGCTTCATGGGGATCCAAACATTTTTAATAAGGCTTTGAAGCATCTGAAAAGGAACACAGTGATAAATATTACCATCACTATCTTTTTTTTTTTTTTTTTTAAGATTTTATTTATTTGAGAGAGCGAGCATGAGCAGCGGAGGATGGGCAGAGGGAGGAGACTCCCTGCTGAGCAGGGAGCCCGATGCGGGGCTCGATCCCAGGACCCTGGGACTATGATCCGAGCCGAAGGCAGACGCTTAACCGACTGAGCCACCCAGGCACCCCACTGTGACTGTCGTTTTAAAGCTAACTGGTAAGAGGTTCCCATATATTCTTAAAGTTGACCGTTTCATGTGCCACTCTCCAGCAGCCATTCCTACCCGTAATGGGGCCCCCACTCAGCAGCTCTTCAAGCCCCACTCACCTCCAAGGCTGCCAACCTCGGCCATCCTGGTGCTCCACCACCCCTCACCCGTCGAGCCCCAGAGTGCCCAGCCCATGCCATCTTGCACTGTCCCGAACGTCCCTCTTCCTCACAGCTGTTCTCCAGTGATGCTATGCCCAAAATTACACACCACGTTTTTCTAACTTTTAAATAAAAAAACTAGTATGTTTGCATCACCATGTGAAGAACTGCTGGCATTCAGAGCTGAAAAAGGACACAGGTCCTTGTGAGACCCACACTCAGCCTAGAAATCTGCTGCTAAATGCAGACAGTGTAGGATGATGAGGTCACTTCCTGAGAGCTGCAATTACATCACTTATTTAATGAATAAAAACATGTACCTAATTACTGGATTTTGATTGGGAAAAGTCATCAAATGCTGAACTGACGAAGTTTGCTTATAGGAGCAGGTCTCAAAAGTAAGGCTTTTGATTATAATTTACTAGACTCTAAAATTTGATGCCCTTATTTTCATTTTAGCTTTGTAACATCTCAAGTGGTCTATTAAACCAGTCATTCAAATCATTGTCAGGAATAACCAGATCCAAGTACTTTGCATTTTCCTTGAAAACACTACTTCGGCTTCAGTTAGTAATGCCGCCTGTCCCCACCCTGACCAGAGCCTCATCTACCGCTTTTTTGCGTCACTATTTGGGCTACATGGAATTTTACTTCTCTTCACTTTCCTCCTGCATGATCATTATTTACTCAGCAGATGTGAACTGAGCACGTACTAGGTGGCAGGCATTGTTTAGGGGCTGAGAAACCAGCTCCTAAGGCGGCGGAACACCTGCGACAGGAGTGTCCTTGACAGAGGCAGTGTATGTGCCAAGACCCCAGGTCAGGACGGACTTGCAGAGTCTGGGAGGAAAGGGAAGCCACAGTGGCTGCCCAGACTCAAATCCCGCCAACTTCAAGTGCCTCAATTTCTTCCTCTGGAAAGCAGGGATAAAAACACCACCCACCCACAAAGGGAGCTTATGAAGAAGAGCTCCTCTGCATCAAGAATTTACAGTGTGTGGTGTCCCATGCTGAGTGCTGTGATATACAATACCACGGCTAGATTATGGGAGGGAGGAGGAACTGGGTCATTTAGGGCCTTGGAGGCCATGGTGAAGAATTCAGCTTTTACTCTAAGAATGTCGGGCAAACCCACAGCACTCACAACGAGCTTACATACTTACCTCCTGCACCACTGCCTAACCCCTACGAAGTGGCTACTTGTGAGAGAGTTGCTGGGGGTCACACAGCTGGATCTATGGATCACCCTGCCCCCCAATCCCCATTACTAGGGAGAATCAGCTCGTCTGAGAAGAGAACTTATTCAGGCGGAGGCACTCTCCTAAAGGCTAGCCAGCCCCACCCCCGCACCAAGTGTGACCTTGAACGATGTGGTTGTGTCCTCCTCCCAGAACCCCTTGCAGAGACGTCTACCCTCACACTTCCTGTCCTCAGACTGGGATGCTCTGTCACAGCACGAGGATCCCAGAAACCAACAACCCTGCCCTTAGAAGGTGCCTGAGAAGACCCAAACAGGACCTGCAGGAGGCCTCTAAAACCCCAGGTGGGAAGAAGAGTTCAGAGGGACCGAGTGCATTCCCCTCCTCCTCGAGCCTGGCAGTGACTGGGCAAGAAGGTGTTCTCAGCTCCCAGTGGGGCCAGAATCCTGGGTTCCAATCCCAACCTTGGCCAAGTCCCTGGAGCTGTCCTTTCAGAAGGTTGCCCCTCTGTGACACAGGGTTATGTCCGCCCGCCTCACGGGGATCTTGCTGGCATGCAAGGAGGGAACGTGAATGGCTCAGCTGGTCATCGGTCACAGCAACAGCAGAAGGAAGTGCTACACATAACCCGCTGAAGGCAATGGTACCAAGCTCCTGGGATCCTAAGAGGGAGAATGTAAGAAGATGCCCTCACGTAGGCCAGATGAAGATCTGGGTGGAAAACAGCAAAGCACCCTGAGAGAGTGCAAAGGAAGGAAGAAGGGGCTGCAAAAACGTCAGCTACCCCATTTTCTGCTCAGGACTCAGGGCCCCCAGCATTGTCTCTTCACCTAGAATTACCTTGGACTGCTCCTCCCACACTACAGACACTTACCTATCCCCGCCCGACTTTCCTTTTGGCCAAGATTGTCATAATTTTCCGGACAAGCAGCCTCTTCATACAGTGAGGCCCTTTCCCGTCTGAGTCCACTGTCCGTCCACATTGCCAGCTCTGTGTGGGGGTTTTATGTATTTATCTATTTTAAAGATTTTATTTATTTATTTGACAGAGAGAGAGGCAGCGCGAGAGGGAACACAAGCAGGGGGAGCGGCAGAGGGAAAGGGAGAAGCAGGCTCCCCGCGGAGCAGGGAGCCCGACGCGGGGCTCGATCCCAGGACCCTGGGATCATGACCTGAGCCGAAGGCAGATGCCTAAGGACTGAGCCACCCAGGCACCCCAACATTTCCTTAACTTTTTAAGACTGAGTGGTAGTCCACTGTGTGGATAGACTACATTTTGTTTATCCATTCATCTGGGTTTTTAAATTTTTAATTTATTATTTTTAAAGATTTTATTTATTTACTTGACAGAGAAAGCCAGAGAGCACAAGCAGGGGAAGAGGCAGGCAGAGGGAGAGAAGCAGACTCCCCGCTGAGCAGGGAGCCCCATGCGGAGCTCGATCCCAGGACCCTGGGACCGTGACCTGAGCCGAAGGCAGCCGCTAACGACTGAGCCACCCAGGCGCCCCTGTGCGGGGGTTTTAGAGCACTCACTCCTCCAAAGGCCCATCCTTTGGTCAAATGTCTGCGCAGTTTTGGGCACGTTAACAGCAAACTATCAGCTGGCCTTACACGGGAGACAGGTACGTCTGAGCCGCCGAGGCCCAGACTGGGATTCCAGAGCCTAATGCCACACAGTTGCACCCGTCGCCTCTGACCCCGTCGTGCGCCCCGTGTCCCCTCCCTAAGGCCTGCTGTGCACTGCGCTGCAAGAAAACCCGAGGTACCAAGGAGAGGAGGTACGAAACGCGGGGCAGGCGCTCCAGGCCGGGGTCGGGGCTCCATCTCCAAGCGCGGCGCGCCCTCGGGCAGGTGGCCGCCCCCGGCGCGGCCGGGGCGCGCCCCCCATCACCGGAGGAGCGCGGCGGTCCTGGCCAAAGGACAGGCAGGGACTGCCCGCGACCCGCCAGGCCGCGGGACGCCCCCCTTCACCGGCCGGGGGCCGCGGCAGGACCCCAAGGCCAGCGGGGCCCAGGCGGCTCTCTCGCTCGTCGCCCTGCGCCCCGCTCGAAACAGCCGGCCGCGCCCCCCGCACTCACCTCGGCGCAAGAACCCCGGCTCAGGCCGCCGCAACACCCACCGCCAACGACTTGGAAAGGTCACCGAATGCGCAAGCGCCGCGCGGGGCCCGCCGGGAAGGCGGAAGGAGCGGCGGCGCCCCGAGGCCAGAGCGCCTCCCGGACCGAGCCTGGGCGCCACAGCGCCCCCAGCGGTCGCCCGGTCAACCTGAAAAAGGGGCCGTCTTTCCTTCTGAGTTAAAGGCTGAGAAGTCTTCTTGCGCTTTCTCTTCGTATTAACTTTTTTGCTTTGCACATTTTTATGCAGCGACTTTTGTGCATAGTAGGTTTAGTCAACAGACACTTAGGCTTTCAAAACAACTCGGCTTACTATGTGCAAGGAAATAAACAAGACTGAAGATTTCAGCAGAAAACTGGAAACCGTAAAAAAAGAAACAAAAAACCACTTAGCCGATCTGAAAAAGAACCAAATAGAAATTGGGTAGGTTTAGCAGATTAGATCAGAGAGCTAGGGTACAACAGAAAAGTCCCTCATATGTGTAACTGAAGGCTCAGAAGGAAAGGAGAGTGAGATGGGCAGGAATATTAGAAGAGATAATGGCTGGCTGAGAATTCTTCAAAAGTGATGGGGACAAAAAATACACCAAAGATTCAAAAAGCCTTCCAGAAACCCAGCAGGCAGATAAATGAAAATAGACCAACACCTTGAAACATCATAATAAAACCACAGAAAACTAAAGATGAGGAAAAAATCTTAATTGTCAATCTAGAATTCTATGCATGCCGAAATTAGCTTTCAATAAGGAAGGCAAAATAAAGACATTTTGGATAACCAAAGACTGAGAGAATGATCACCAGTAGATGCACAGTTAAAAAAAAAAAATCAATGTTCTTTATTCAGGTGGAAAGAAAGTGAGCTCAGATAGAAGGATGAGGACACAGGAAGGAAGAGCAACAAGCATGGTCCTGCTTCAAAGGGACAAAGGCTTAGGACACATGAAAACTGCATTCACCACCTGAAAATCTTGCTATTTTAGGATAGTGGTGCTCAAATTGTGGTTTGGAGGTTTCCAATAACTCCGGGGATCAAAACTATTTTCATAACAATGGCAAAATGTTTTTGTCTTTTTCGCCAGAAGTATCTCACAAGGGTTCTGTGGCATTTTCCAGAGACCAACTTGTGATGTCACAACAGAATGAATACAGAAACAAATATGAGAATCCAGCTATCTTCCATGAAGGCAGACATTAAGAGATCTACAAAAATGTAGAAGTGTCATTCTTCGCACACATATAGTGCCTTTTCATCAAAATATTCCCTTTAACATCAAATAGGTTTATTATTGCTATTTTTAAATGAATAAGTAAAGTGTCTCAGTTGTAATCCCTAATAAAGTAGATGTAACCTACATAAACAAAAGTTCTCTAGGGGCTTCATGAATTTTTTAAGAAGATTTTATTTGTCAGAGAGAGAGAGAATGAGAGGGAGAGCAAGCGAGCACAGCAGGGGGAGCGGCAGGCAGAGGGAGAAGCAGGCTCTCCGGGATCCCAGGACCCTGGGATCATGACCCGAGCCGAAGGCAGACGCTTCACGGATTGAGCCACCCAGGTGCCCTGCTTCATTAATTTTTAAGAGTATAAAGGGGTCCTGAGATAAGGACCCAGTTTGTGAACCACTGTCTTGGAAAAGAATGTTTAAGACTTATAATAAGGTAGGAAACTGGTGACGACGACAACAAGCATTTAGGAACAACTTACGAATATCATCATAATCTATTTTAAGATAACAAAGCTTTTGAACTTCACACTCCACTTGAGATCAACAGAATTTTCATGTCTTTTGTTGCAAAGCCAAAACACAGTATGAAAAATACATCTTCAAAGGAAACAGTATTTGAAGGCAGAGCCACCCAGCAGATTTATGCAAAGTGCAGAATTCTGCATTTTGCAGCTGAGGAGGTCAGAGAAGACATGAAGGCACTTGGGACACTTCTCCCACTTTGTCAAGAGTGCTGCTCACCGGCACCAACATCATTTATAATTGTCTCAACTGCTTGTTTTCCCTCTGGGTCTGCGGCACAAACTGTTCTGGGAATGAAAATACGCAAAACCTCCACCAAGGCCCATGGCTTCCTCTGTGCTCTGGTCTAAACGTCTACAAGCGTTTTAAGAACTGTCCAGCTGTCTCTTTCAACTTTGGAGAGGAATGCAAGTTGAGCTGCGCTAATTGAGTACGAAGCACCAAGAACTACCAGTGAAATGAGGGGTCAAAGCTATTTTCTGTGACGACACAGAATGCTAACTACAACTCAGGAAAGTGGCAATTAAATGAGAACAAACTTTGAAACTGAAGCATAAGACAGTCTCCTTCAACTGCAGTTAAAAACTCAAAACTCAAGAGGACTGAAGGAGATAGTAACCCCAAAGTTCAAAGAACATAGAAAAAGCTTTCCAATCACTTCAAACCTGTTAAAATGACTAAAATCAAAAAGACAAGAAAGGGCAAGTGTTGGCAAGAGAAACACTTGGGAGGAAAAGGAACCCTTGAACGCTGTTGGTGGGAATGTGAGTTGGTGCAGCCACCACGGGAAACAGTATGGAGGTTCCTCTAAAAATAAAAAATAGAACTACCATATGATCCAGTAATTCCAATATTGAATATTAACCCAAAGAAAACAAAAACACTAATTCGAAGAGATAAAGCACCTATGTTTGTTGCAGTATTATTTATAATATTTTTAGTCAATGCTGAATGACGCATCAAGAGTCTCAATGACTTGATTACATTTTTATTTATTGCAAAACGGGTTCTTTCCCACCGCAAAAGATGAGCGCGTGAGGGACAGTTTTGCAGGCTGCTGCGTCTGGAGGCCCCGAGCCCGCGGTAGAAACTAGCGGGTGGTCCGGCTCTGGACCCGGGACCCCTGGCGCAGCACCGGGCTGGGCTCCTTTTTTGTGAAACACCCGGAGTGCAGCCCCGCCGGTCTGCCTGCGGTCGGTCGGCACCGTCCTGCAGCTGAGCTGGCTGGCCACCCTCGGAGCACCTTCCGGGCCCCAACCGGACTCCCCAGGGCGGCCAGCGCCACGCTCTCGGATCCTGCCCCCCAGTCTCCCACGCGGCCTTCCCCGAGAGCGGGCGAGACTGGGCGCGACGGGAGGACGGCTGGCGCGCGTCGGTGCGACTCTTCTCGTTCTGCCCGGGCCCCCCTCCTTTGGACCCCTTTGTGCGGCCCCGTCCTAGGGCTCTGTCCTCACCTCCACTCTCCCAGCGCTCAGAGCTCAGTCTGGACCATCTCAGTGACTCGCGGGGTCCTACCAGCCACCATCTGCGGACGGCCAGCACACCTGCGCCTCCCGCGCGGGGGACGCCGCGCGTCCGAGGCCGGCGTAGGCAAGAAGATGGGTCCCACTTAGTTACGCTGGGGCCCCACGGAACCTCCTCCAGGCCTTCGTCCCCGGAGGACGCTCCCCTGCGAATCGTTCCCACCGGTCGCCCTGCACGCGCCTCCTTCCGGATCATCCTGCAGCCGTCCGCGTAGGTGGCGTCTTCTCCCAGAAGCCTTTCCCGACCTGCTTGCTCCTGCCCCCGGCAGGTGCAAGGTGTCCGGTGGGGCGGCCCGCTGTTTACCTCGACAACACACACTCCGAGCCCTTCTCCGTTTGCCTCCACCTCCCACCCTGAGGTCTCTCGGCACCGGACCCCAGCAGCTCCGCACTGGGCCCGGCACACAGCAGGCGCCCAGTCAGCGTCTGCCCCTCGGGAGCCTGAAGCGCCACGCCGCGGGCGTGATCTTAGAGGAACAGGTGGAGAGCGAGTCCACCCCCTGGTGGCTGAGGCCCGGGGCCTCCGGAGCGTCTAGGGGGCTGATTCAGGGACAGCCGCCGCGGCGCAGGCGCTCGCCACAAGACTGCGCACGCGCGGAGAGGCTGGGCTGGCAGCACGCGGTCCAGGCCCTGCGGGCGCTGGCGCGTTCTGATAGGAGGGCCCGGGCGGGGCGGGGTCAGCGGCACGAGGTCCGGGCCGCGCGGGCGCTGGCGCGTTCTGATTGGAGGGCCCGGGCGGGGCCGCGCGGGCGCTGGCACGTTCTGATGGGAGGGCCCGGGCAGGGCGGGGTCAGCGGCATGAGGTCCATACCACGCGGGCGCTGGCGCGTTCTGATTGGAGGGCCCGGGAGGGGCGGGGTCAGCGGCACGAGGTCCGGGCCGCGCGGGCGCTGGCGCGTTCTGATTGGAGGGCCCGGGCGGGGCGGGGTCAGCGGCATGAGGTCCGTACCGCGCGGGCGCTGGCGCGTTCTGATTGGAGGGCCCGGGAGGGGCCGCGCGGGCGCTGGCACGTTCTGATGGGAGGGCCCGGGCAGGGCGGGGTCAGCGGCACATGGCTCGGGCTGCGCGGGCGCTGGCGCTTTCTGATTGGAGGGCCGGGCGGGGCGGGGTCAGCGGCACGAGGTCCGGGCCGCGCGGGCGCTGGCGCGTTCTGATTGGAGGGCCCGGGCGGGGCCGCGCGGGCGCTGGCACGTTCTGATGGGAGGGCCCGGGCAGGGCGGGGTCAGCGGCATGAGGTCCATACCACGCGGGCGCTGGCGCGTTCTGATTGGAGGGCCCGGGAGGGGCGGGGTCAGCGGCACGAGGTCCGGGCCGCGCGGGCGCTGGCGCGTTCTGATTGGAGGGCCCGGGCGGGGCGGGGTCAGCGGCATGAGGTCCGTACCGCGCGGGCGCTGGCGCGTTCTGATTGGAGGGCCCGGGAGGGGCCGCGCGGGCGCTGGCACGTTCTGATGGGAGGGCCCGGGCAGGGCGGGGTCAGCGGCACATGGCTCGGGCTGCGCGGGCGCTGGCGCTTTCTGATTGGAGGGCCGGGCGGGGCGGGGTCAGCGGCACGAGGTTCAGAACGCTTGGTGCTGGCGCGTTCTGATTGGAGGGCCCGGGCGGGGCGGGGTCAGCTGCACGAGGTTCGGGTCGAGCGGCGCTGGCGCGTTCTGATTGGAGGGCCCGGGCGGGGCGGGGTCAGCGGCACGAGGTCCGGACCGCGCGGGCGCTGGCGCGTTCTGATTGGAGGGCCCAGGCGGGGCCGCGCGGGCGCTGGCACGTTCTGATGGGAGGGCCCAGGAGGGGCGGGGCAGCAGCACGAGGTCCGGGCCGCTTGGTGCTGGCGCATTCTGATTGGAGGGCCCGGGCGGGGCGGGGTCAGCGGCACGAGGCTCGGGCCGCGCGGGCGCTGGCGCGTTCTGATTGGAGGGCCCGGGCGTGGCGGGGTCAGTGGCACGAGGTCCGGGCCGCGTGGGCGCTGGCGCTGGCGCGTTCTGATTGGAGGGCCCGGGCGGGGCGGGGTCAGCGGCACGAGGTCCGGGCCGCGCGGGCGCTGGCGCGTTCTGATGGGAGGGCCCAGGAGGGGCGGCATCAGCGGCACGAGGTCCGGGCCGCGCGGGCGCTGGCGCGTTCTGATTGGAGGGCCCGGGCGGGGCGGGGTCAGCGGCACGAGGTCCGGGCCGCGCGGGCGCTGGCGCGTTCTGATTGGAGGGCCCGGGTGCGGCGGGGTCAGCGGCACGAGGTCCGGGCCGCGCGGGCGCGGGCGCTGGCGCGTTCTGATTGGAGGGCCCGGGCGGGGCGGGGTCAGCGGCACGAGGCTCGGGCCGCGCGGGCGCTGGCGCTTTCTGATTGGAGGGCCCGGGCGGGGCGGGGTCAGCGGCACGAGGTCCGGACCAAGCAGGCGCTGGCGCGTTCTGATTGGAGGGCCCGGGAGGGGCGGGGTCAGCGGCACGAGGTTCGGAACGCTTGGTGCTGGCGCGTTCTGATTGGAGGGCCCGGGTGGGGCGGGGTCAGCGGCACGAGGTCCGGGCCGCGTGGGCACTGGCGCTTTCTGATTGGAGGGCCCCGGGCGTGGCGGGGTCAGTGGCACGAGGTCCGGGCCGTGCGGGCGCTGGCGCGTTCTGATTGGAGGGCCCGGGCGGGGCGGGGTCAGCGGCACGAGGTTCGGGTCGCGCGGGGCTGGCGCGTTCTGATTGGAGGGCCCGGGTGGGGCGGGGTCAGCGGCACGAGGTCTGGGCCGCGCCGCGCGGGGGGGGGGGCTGGCGCGTTCTGATTGGAGGGCCCGGGAGGGGCGGGGTCAGCGGCACGAGGTTCGGAACGCTTGGTGCTGGCGCGTTCTGATTGGAGGGCCCGGGTGGGGCGGGGTCAGCGGCACGAGGTCCGGGCCGCGCGGGCGCTGGCGTGTTCTGATTGGAGGGCCCGGGCGTGGCGGGGTCAGCGGCACGAGGTCCGGGCCGCGCGGGCGCTGGCACGTTCTGATTGGAGGGCCCGGGCGGGGCGGGGTCAGCGGCACGAGGTTCGGGTCGCGCGGCGCTGGCGCGTTCTGATTGGAGGGCCCGGGAGGGGCGGGGTCAGCGGCACGAGGTCCGGGCCGAGCTGGCGCTGGTGCGTTCTGATTGGAGGGCCTGGGCGGGGCCGGGTCGACGGCACCAGGTTCGGGCCGCGTGGGCGCTGGAGCGTTCTGATTGGAGGGCTTGGGCGGGGCGGGGCCGCGTTGCTGGCGTCACCACGTTGCGCCGTCACGTTCCCGACGTCCTTTGTTCCCGCGGCTCCGCGGGGCAGTTGTGACGGCGTCGACACTAGGCCGGCAGCATGCTGCGCAAGCTCACCGTCGACCAGATCAACGACTGGTTTACGATCGGCAAGACCGTGACGGATGTGGAGCTGCTGGGCTCGCCGCCCGCTTTCCCGGCCGAGGCGGCCAGGGATGAGGCGCAGCGCCGGGACGTGGCCCCAGGCTTGGCGCCCGCGGCCCAGGCCCAGCCCGTGGCGTCCAGGAGGTAGGAGGCCGGCGAGGCGCGGGCGCGGCCCGGGAGGGGGGCGGGGGGTGCGTGGCGTCCCCGGGCGCCGCGTGACCCCATCCGGGGCCCCGGGCTGCCCCAGAGCGGGCTGGCAGTCCGGCGGGCCTCCTCCGGTGGCCGAGCCACCCCAGACTGTGGTTCTTTTTCTCAGTGTTTTATTACCAGACTTCGTCTTTTAGAGCCGTTGAGGTTTGCAGAGAAATCGAGCGAAGTCCCCAGTCCTGAGTGCCTCCTTCAGCCCACCACCAGCTTCCCCGTTCCTCCCTTGCTTAGTGTCCTTCGTGTTACCACGGAGCAACCCTGTGCGCGCGCTCTCAGTAACCGCAGTCGGTGGTTGAGGGTTGCTCCTGGCGGTGGTGTGTGTGGTTGGGCACAGGCGGCAACCGCGCATCTTCTCTCTGTCCCGCGTTGTCCATCGTCTTACAGCTGGAATCAGGCCATGTGTTGCCTTCTCGGATTGGCTGCTTTGATTTTGCACTATGCACTGAAGAGTCCTTCGTATTTTTTCATGGCTGGGTAGCTTTTTTTTTTTTTTTTTTTGTAAGTGCTGAATAATATTCCGTGCTGTGGATGGACGTAGCACAGCCTATGCATTCAGCTACTGAAGGATGCCGGGTGCTTCCGAGTTCTGACAATTATGAGTAAAGCGGTGGTAAACATTTCTGTGCAGGTTTTTGTGGGTCAAAAGTTTTCGCCCATTTGGGTGAATATCAAGCAGTTGGAATGCTGGATCTTTGTTCAGTTTTATTAATGCCCTTCCTCCCACTATTTTTTGTTTTTTTTTTTTTTTAGGATTTTTTATTTACTCCAACTATTTTTTGACTGAAGTAACTGCTGTTGGTTCATCTGTTCACATGATTTTGGTGGAAATAAAAAGGCAAGAGGAGGCCTTCCGTTTTTTAGAAAACCCAGATCGGGTGTGTAGAAACACCTGCTCCCTCTTTATTATTTTTTTTTTTAAAGATTTTATTTATTTACTTGACAGAGCGAGAGCAGGAACACAAGCAGGGGGAGTGGGAGAGGGAGAAGCAGGGGGAGCGGGAGAGGGAGAAGCAGGGGGAGCGGGAGAGGGAGAAGCAGGCTCCCCGCCGAGCAGGGAGCCCGACGCGGGGCTCGATCCCAGGACCCTGGGATCATGACCTGAGCCGAAGGCAGTCGCTTAACGACTGAGCCACCCAGGCGCCCACCTGCTCCCTCTTTAAAGCAGGCCAGTGTGGAAGTACTCCCATCTTGGAGTATCTGTGTCACTGCTTGGACTTCCCCCCCGCCCCAGGTTCAACACCTTTTACAGCTGAGAGGGTGGTTTTTGTGTTTTACTTTTTAAAAAAAGTTATTCTTGTTTGTTGGCCCCATTAAGTTTTCATGGGTTTGCTTCAAGCATCTGTAGACAAGCTTCAGGCCCTTGTAGAGTCAAGGGCAACTTGGGATCTTTGGTAAATTTTTTTCTTGGATACAGGGAAGGGACAAAGAGACCCTTGTGCAGCTTTAGAGTGGCCGTTCTGTTTCCTTGAAGAGTACTGGTGAATGGTCCTGTAGACTGTCCTGTCTCTTTAGTGCTCCCCTGCTTGTAACAGGCAGAGCTGTGTTGCTTTTAAGTAACTCATTGTGGTAGTGGAAGCAAATTATTGACCTTTTCAGAAACCGAAAGTACAGGTTTAAATGTTCTTCTAACTACTAAGGATCAATTTTTAAAATTTCCAGTCCTTCATGGACTGAGACTTTGAAAAATCAATAAAAATGAAATTTCAGAGTAATGGAATGAAAACAGACAAAATATAAGCCCTATTTAAAAATTATTATAGTCAACATATAAAATTATTTTGTAAAATTGCCATAAACATTTCAACTTCTGTAGGTAATTAGAAACAGGCAAATAACTAGAGACGGGCAGATAACTTTGAGGTTTGCTTGTCTGTATAGTGCTTTGAGTCTGAGTGGTACTTCTTCTGGAAGTCCCATCCTGGGCCCTTACCACATACCTAATGCCAGAGGTTCTACCATGTAGTAGGCACTCAAATATAGCTATATTATTGAATCTTTGAAA